TGGTCCAATATGAGTTGATTATCATTTTCCCCTTGTGGCATGGATCTCTACTTGTATGAGGCTCTATGAGGTGTGGTTGTGTTTAGCATCAGTTATGTTTTCTAGCTAACTTTTAATTTTGCAGGACCTTTTCGAATTTGCTGCACGAGCAGAACCCCTTTGCACTGCTGTCCATACTTGTGTTAACTTCTATTCAGTCGGACACCAGTGGAAGCGTTAACATTAAGTGATGTGTAAAAAAAAAAGTTAATGTATAATCAGATGACCCAATCAACTTTAGTTTCCTCAGATTATTTTATTTATCCATTATTATAGACAAACAAATTTAGAGTAATAACCTAAAACCTTTTGATTTTTTCCTGTTAGGTTGTTTGGTCTAAACCAGAGCTCAGGTCAGCTCAGCATCAGAGAGGGAACCCCTCCCGGCTCATACCGCCTGCAGGTCCGCGTGTCAGACAACACATGGCCTGACGTCATCTCCACCGCCCAGGTGGATGTCACAGAGCTGCACCAGGAGGCCCTGCAGCAGGCCGGCTCCATCCGTCTGAGCAGTGAGTCCCCGTGTCATCATGTCAGATAAGACTGAAGCTATTTTATCAATGGGAGCCTTTCAAGATTCACGTTTTATGATTCTTTTAGCAGTTATGAAATTTCTAAATTTTACAACTTTGGATATTTTATTCTGTTGTAATTAGAGGGCAGATTTTTATTATCTAAGAATAATAGAAAATTCAACAGGGATATTAGTTTGTTTATCATGTTTTTCAGTTTTAAATACAATAAATAGAAAGAAACAAAAACAAATATAGAAAAATGCAGAACAGTTCTTTTTTAAATCTATCATTTTCCATAAATAGGAAGAAAACGGATAACGAGCATAAACATTTATATCTACCTTTGGGCTCCGAGGCACAGGTGGACTGTAAAAGAAAACAGGAAAACCCAGATAGAGCTTCAGTAAATAACATTCAATAGCAGCATAGAAAGTATAGCAGACATTAAACCATATCGTATATCAATTTAGAAATCATAGCAGTAACTGTTATAGTGGCAGTAAATGATTGATCAATGAAAAATATTGTGAGTTCTATTTTTTCCAATTGTTTTGTTTTACGGTCTGGTTTTATCATGTTTTTTAGTCTTTATTCTACTTTTATTTGTCATCTATTTTGTTTAATTCTTATAATTTCATGATTTTATCTAAAGCTCAGACCCACATGCAGTGAAACCAATTCAGAGAGACACAGATGAAAAGTTTAACAGGTTTATTGAAGAGTTTAGGCTCGGTGAGGAGTTGCTCAGAACTCAGCTCGACCGGAACTGGAAGGTGAAGGGAAGACAAGACGATAAGTTCAGGCTCAGTGGGAAATTTCATTCGTGGATATGGAGAAGAGGATCTGGTGGTTGACTCATGTTCCAGAGAAGTTGTAGGATCTTTGACTCCAATCTGTGTGATGTTTTCCAATGTTCTGCTGATTCGGTGGAGGGCGGAAAAGGTTTTACCCAGAACTTGGATGGTTGTTGGTGAACGGAGAAACTGACTGCCACTCAGATTTCCTGCAGTTCTTGAACGGGTCGTAATGGAGATGATTCCCTTGCTCAGAGAGTTAACTCAACATCCTCTTCAAGGAAGATGGATCCAAATCTCCTGTTTGAATCCCCAGCTTGGTTTGAGACTCAGTTGATCCCTTCAGGGAGAGAAGGTCCAAAAAGATCCAGTTTGCAGGAAGACTTCCTGCCGAGAGGCAAAAACAAAAAAACGAAGTTAAAACTCAGATAGAACAAGAACTCAGTCTTACTCAGCAAAAACTGAGCTTGGCTAGAGTACCAAAAACTGGCAAAGACTCTGGCGTCGAGGTAGTGGCAATCAGCAGCTTAAGAGCACTCTGTTAACGAGGCAACCATCATCAGGTGTGTGAGGAGGCGGACCAGAACCAGGCGCCTCCTGCTGGTGGACGGGAGAACAACACAAAAAGACAAACACAACACAATGGAGTCCTGACATATAAAACACTTTGAATTGTACTTGCACTGAATTCTGCTATACAAATAAACTTGCCTTGCCTTTGTGTAATGGAAATACAAGGATGTATAAAATGACTTAATAGTTTACCCAATAAGAGAATCATCTGAAACACTGAACTACAGAAACAGTTGTTGCTCATTTTTTGTTGTTTTAGTTTAAACAAAATAACTGATAAAGAAATTATGTACAGATTGATAAAGTATTTTTTTGTCACCTTTACCCCAAAGGAGTATTTCAATATAAGAAGGAACTTCCTCTGTTCTTCCAGATCTTACAGTGGAGGAGTTTTTCAGGAGTAGCAGCGGAGGTCAGGGAAGTCGTTTCTATCGTCTGGGTCGGATTTTGGCTGAATTCCTGCAGACCTCGCCAGAGAACGTCCAAATCTTCTCTTTAAGCAAAGCCGGCAAGGAGACGAATACAGCGCTTGATGTATGGTTTGCTGCACACGGATCTCCGTACTACAAGGCCGAGAAGCTGCACGGCTATGTGGCAGCAAACAAGGCCAAGGTAACATTTAAATATATGCAAACTGCATCTTTAAATTGTATATCTCTTTTAGAATCAAATGCAAAATATATGTAAATGCATACTAAATGCATTTAAAGCTATGGAGCTGCAGCTGACATCAGTTCATCATCCCTGTTTGTTACCCATGTATGAAAAAGATGCAAAGCATGTGTGCACACATGTTGACTGATCAAGGTCTTATGGAAGTCTTTTCCTTGTGGCGGCCTCACAGCTCATATCTCCTTAATAGAACCAATAAAAGGTCATAAAAAAGCAAAAGTAAAAGTTTCATGTACATCCCTTCCCTGTTATATTTGTGTTTTCATTTCCCTGTCTTTTCTAGTTTCTCCATTATTTGTTAGTGTGTATCTTTTCCCCTTAGTTCAGTCGTATTTCAGTTTCTCTGTGTTTACTAGTTTTCTT